AGGAGAAAGAGCAAATGCAGGTTGTCCTTGGGGAGATAGAGACAAAGATGGTGTAAAAGATAACAAAGATAAGTGTCCTGAAGTTGCAGGTCCTGCTTCTAATGATGGTTGTCCTGTTAAAAAAGCAGACTTTAAAGAAGAAGCTGTAAAAGCAACACAAGCGTTACAAAACTTAGAGTTTGATTCAGGTAAATCAACAATCAGAGCTGAAGGTCAAGCTAAATTAGATGCTGCTGCTAGTATCATTAAAGCTAATACTGGTAAATATATGATATCTGGTCATACAGATAATACAGGGTCTGCTGCATTGAATCAAAAATTATCTCAAGCTAGAGCACAAGCTGTTGTAAAAGCTTTGGAAAGCAGAGGAGTGGAATCTGGAAGGTTGTTAGCTAAAGGATTTGGATCAAGCAAACCAATTGCAGATAATAAAACGGCAGAAGGCAAACAACAAAACAGAAGGGTTGAAGTAGGAGCATTATCTGATGAAGAGTACCAACAAAATATGGTGGCTCCATCTACTAAACCTGTTACTAAAAAAGCAACAGCAACTAAGAAAAAAGTAGTTAAAAAAGCAACTACCGCAACTAAAAAAGCTGTAGCTCCTGTGAAAAAAGCTCCAGTTAAGAAAAAATAATTCTTAAAGTAGGAGAAATTATAGAACACTAATGGAAAGAGAGGTTGTCAAAAAGACAGCCTCTCTTTTTTTATGTAGAATACATTTTTTGATGATAGGATAAAAATTTACAAAGAATACAAGCAAAAAAAGAGATAAATCATTTTATTTTGTAGGCTCTTTATAATGTGAATATGGCAAAGAAAAAAATACAGCGATTTAAAGAAAACGAAACGTTTAAACACCTATTTCAACCCAATCGAGAAGATATCTTGAGTGGATTTTCACTTAAATCTAAGTGGAATAAAGCAGTTTTTAAAAATGACTTTCCAATTATTTTAGAGCTTGGATGTGGAAAGGGAGAGTACACAATTGAGATGGCAAAAAAACATCCAGAATATAATTTTATTGGAATAGATTTAAAAGGAGCTAGATTGTGGCGTGGTGCAAAGTCAGTTCAAGAAGAAAGTTTAAAAAATGTTGCTTTTATTAGAACTCAAATAGAGTTAATAGAATATTTATTCTTTGAACAAGAAATATCAGAAATTTGGATCACCTTTCCAGACCCTCAAATCAAATATAGAAGAGCTAAACATAGGTTAACACATCCCTTTTTTTTAGAGAAATATAAAAAAATTCTAAAAACAGATGGAGTTATTCATTTAAAGACAGACAGTGATTTTTTATATGGCTATACACATGGAATTATTCAAGAAAAAAACTATACCGTATTGCTCACTAGTCACAATATATACCACCCTGATGCCAAAAATATCCCCGAATATGTTACAGAAATTAAAACTTTTTATGAAAACAAATTTTTATCTAAAGGAGTTAGAATTAATTACTTAAAATTTAAACTTTAAAAAATTATTTAATTCTCCTTGCAACAAAGCAACGTTAGTTAGTTGCCTTAGATAGGAGCACCAAAAGAACCACTAACTTGCCTTCTTATTTAGAAGAAACCGTGAGAAAAATATTAGATTAATTTAACTATACTCTTCTCTTTAAATAGAACCATAAAGGTACTTCTTCCCCTTTTCTATCCATTATTCCCAACACTATAGTCTCATTTATTTTTTTAAAATGGTCAAAAATGGGGTGATTATCATAAACCATAGTGGCTGTAGATTGATTTCTATATTCAACCATTCGACAAGAAGCACTACCTAAAACATTATTTGCAAAAATTTTTCCTTCTTGATCCTTAGAAATAATAGGGTCTACATTATTTCTATCATGGAAATTTTTTCCAACCCAATTTAAAGCGGTTAAGTGTTTTTCTCCTCGATGCCCAGTGTTAAAAACACCTCCTTCCCATTCACCTATCATAAAATCTTCATTAATGGGTTCTAATGAATCCCATAATGAAACCAAATCAGTTAAAGAAATTTGTTCTTTACTGTTTAAAAGACTTTCAAATATTTGTTCTTTATTCATATTTTATCTATTTATAGGTTAGATTCACTCATTACAAGTACGGCTTTTATACATTTTCCATTTTTTATATCTTCTTCCGCTTCATTTATTCTTTCAAAGGGATAAGTTTTTACTATTTTTTCTAATGGAAGAAGTCCTTCTTTATACCATTCAATCATTTTAGGAATAAATAATTTAGGAGATACATCTCCTTCTACTGTTCCTCTGATTTTTTTCCCCATAGTTACTAGTAATGAAAGGTCGACAGATATTTTTGTTTTAGGAGGACCTATTCCTGCACAGACCAAAGTGCCTTGAGGTTTTAAGATATTAAAAGCTGTTTCTATAACTTCAGACACGCCTGTAGTATCTAAACTAGATAGAGTTCCTCCGTTTCCCATAATCACAGATAGGGGACTTTCTTTGGTGCTATTAATGGTTACTGTAGCTCCCAACTCTTTTGCTAAAGATAATCTTTCTTCTTTAACATCTATTGCATAAATATTTTTATACTTTGCTATATTTGCTGCCATAATAGCTGATAAACCCACTGTCCCACAACCAAATATTGCAATAGACGAGTTTTTACTGATATCTAATACCTGCATCACAGAACCCACACCTGTTTGTACCCCGCAAGCTAAAGGAGCCATTAATTCTGAGGGTAAATCGGGAGAAATTTTTACCATGTTACTAATAGAAGCTATTGCATATGTAGCAAAAGAAGATTGTCCAAAAAAATGTCCTGTAATAAATTCATTATTTAATTTTATAGGAGAAGAACCATCTAATCTTTTACCTAACACACAATAATTAATCACTTTAGAACAATAATTGGGATTATTTTCTTTACATTTTTTACATTGCCCACAAGAGCAGAAGTGAATGATGTAGCGAATTCAATTATTGATGGTGCAGATGCAGTGATGTTAAGTGGCGAAACTTCTATTGGTAAATATCCAACCGAAGTTATTAAAACCATTAAACGTATTATTCTTAATATTGAAGA